CGCTTCCCGGGCCGAGTGGAGGACTTCTGACTGGCCGTGCACGGCTTGCATTTGCAGCTGGTGGCCGTGACAGCCACGTGCTGGATGACCGTCATCCCGCCATCCTCACCCTCTGCTTCCCCCAGTCCTTTCCGTACGGCTTTTCTGGTCAGCGCCCCCGCGGCATGTCTTTTCCGGCGTATTGTCGCCACCTGCTGCACCGCGTGCCACGAACGCAATTCGGCGGCAATCTCATGCTGCTGGCACGCATGTACGACATCTGCGTGCGCCACGAAAGCATGGTGCAAGTGGGCATTACCATGAACATGCGGCCGCATCTTGGCGAGCCAGCAGCGTGTGTGCCGTGTGATGTCATCCGTGCTATGGGCACCATACTGGCACTGCCGTATCGGCACTCGCAGCGGCGGCAGCTGCTTGCGCAGCAGTCGCCGCTGGTTAAGGTGCTGGTGGAGGGGGCCCGCCTCAGTACTCTGCGCCTCGACCTCACAGATGCTTATTACAATGGTGCGCGATCCAAGATGCATGCAGCCGCCCTCACCATTGGCTGGCCCCCGCTGTTCTTCACCGTAAATCCGGCAGATATGCATGCAGCCTGTGCAGTCATGGCCTCCGGACAGGTGTTGGACTTCGACGATGACGGACGACCGCAACATATCCCGAGCACGGTGGAGAAGTGGCGGCGTGTGAAGGATGACCCGTACAGTTGCGCCGCCCTGCTGGTGGCCACCAAGGAGGTTCTGGTGGAGGAGCTCTTCGGCTTCACGCCGGGCGCCATGCAGCAGACGAACCCGCGCTGCTTCTGCGGGCTCACGTTTGAGGTGGCAGTCAAGGTGGAGCAGAGCGGCCGCCTCGCCCTGCACATCCACGGTGTTGCACATGTGGCCGATATGTGGCCGGTATGGCGCTTGTCGCCATGAAGCTGGACGGTCATTCCACCTTCGAGGCGACGTTCGACTGCGCATACCTGCAGGTAGACGCGTTCACAGCGCTATCTGCGGGCG